GTTTAGGACTCGATTATAAGAGCCCTTCGATCAGAAAAGGAACGCTTTCCCAATCATTACAACAATAATTGGAGGCTTTAGTGATTAGACATATGAACCAAATTTATCTATTTATATACAATATGTGGTAATACTTGTAATCGCTTTGTTTATATTCAATACAAATCTCTAAATCTAAAACAAATTGTATGTATGTTTTGCGGCTTATTTAAGGTATATATTGAATGCAAATATCGCTTCAAAAACCATCCAAATGTGCCAATCGTTTGTTTATAACATTATTATATAATATGTTTAAAGTGTATAACTTATTAATCAAATGAATATATATTGCAATAAATCTTAAATTATTTATTAAATTAATGATTGTTTGAAACACTTGTCGAGGGCTTTGACACAAATGCATCGCCAATGAGTTGTACGTAAAAGTACTGTTGTTTACGAATGGGAACTATGTTTTGATTTGCATTGCATTTACAGTCAGTGACTGAATGACTGATTGAATGATTGAATGATTTGATCACAAATGGAGTCAAATAGCAGTGAATTAGTGAATGGTTTGAATGAATCCACCGATGATTTGGTCACCAAATTGTCGGCCACTGAAGACAAACTTCAAAAGTTTAAGGCATTGGCCGTCAAACTGAAGAAAGAGCTGAATGACACCAAACAACAGGTGATTACTATATTTGGGTCCAAGTGGTGACCAATTTGATGATCATTTGTGAGATGTTTCTAATTGTGGTGTCTTTGTGGTGATGATAGCTATCAAAGTCATTGTCCGATTGCAATGAATTCAAAGCTCAGCTCAAGACTCAGGACAGGGAGAAGATATCGTCGTCCTATCAGCAGATAGTCTTGAATTTTCAGGTATTTATCCAACACTTGATTGAAGAGAATTGTGAGACAATTGGATGTGATTTGTGTTGTCATGTGTTGACCAGAGTTTGCAATCAGAATACGACAAAATCCAAGACGAAAGCGATTCCCTTAAGACTAGAAACAAAGAACTCGAACGCGATTTAAGCGATGGTCTCAATGAGTTGACACGAGTCCGACAGGAGTTGGAGGAAACTAAGGATCAAATCGATGGACTCAACGGTTGTGTCGCTTCTCTCAAAGAAGACAAACAGTGTTTAGAAGTCAGGAAAAGAGAGTTTGAATCGAAAGTAATTGTATTGCAGAATGAGTTGGATTTGGAGCGCAAGAGGAATGTGGCGAACACTGGATTAGAGCAGACCATCGCTGAACTCCACCACCAATTGGATGAGAAGACCACTGAGATTATAGATCTAAGCGATCGCTTTGAGACCACTAAACAAGACATCAAACAATTTGATGAATTAGTTGTTGAGAAACAGGAACTCATGTCTCGCGTCGAGTCCTTAGAAAAGGAGAATTCACTTCTTAAAGAAGATGTCCAGAAGTATAGCGAAACACTTGAGACACAATTGTCTGAAATAGAAAATTATAAGATTAAGAGCTCTGAGTGGACGGCACTGATCCACAGTCTCGAGACTCAATCCAAGACATCGAATGAGTTGTTCAATAAGACTATAAAGAGTTTAGAGACAAAAGTACATGAATTGCAAACACATGTGAATGGTTTGGAAAAAGAGTTGATCGCCAAAGACGAGAAGTTCGAGGAATACAAACACAGAGTTTGTAAAGTTCTTAAACAACAAAATGATAACCAAAACAGTGATCGCAACTCAAAACAAATTCACGCGTTTGAGACAACGATAGAGAATTTGAACTTAGAATTAAACTCTTTGAAGTAAATTATTGTATACTTTTACGGCATATGAATTGAACTTTTATTTATTTTGAATGTTTATTTTTCAGAGAAAAGTTTGAAATTAATTTGCGTGAAAAGGAAACGCTAGAAAACAATTACATTCAGTTGAATACTAGTCATAACTTATTAAAAAATGTCAACAATGAATGCAATACTTTGAAAGAGAGGTATATATTTTGCAGACAACTATTATTATAGACATTCGGGTATTGAATTCAATTAATTGTTGTAATATTGTTACAGAATTAACGAATTTAAGAGTGAAAATGAAAAACTCAAGTCTTTGGCCCGAGAACTGCAATCATCGCTCGTTAGTGATCGCAAACTTACAGAAACACAACACAAGGTTTTGTTAAATATGTTCAGCTTTTGTTAAGTCAATAACTTAACGATTGATATTATATTCTTAGAAAGAAATTCAAGAACTGGAGGACAAACACAAGTCTGACATGACTTCACTCGAAGAGAAATTACGGCAAACTAATAGCGAATTACATGATCTTAAACTTGAAAGACTTTCTCATAGAGATAGCACTCAATTGAATGATTCGTTGCATAAATTTAATCAATCGATTCATAATTCAGACGAATTAGAAAGTGTTGAAACGATTTCTATTTCAGATAAAGTATTTCAAATAATGAGTTATACATGAAGAATATGGTATAACTTTGTTTTCATTTATTGACAGAAAACTTCAGTTTCTCCGACTTCGATGTCCGGTAATATTCTTCAAGAAATACTTTATTCCACTGAAACTCAAGAGATGAGGCGTAAGACTATATTATTGACCAAATTTTATCATTAATTGATTAAACATATAATTGTTGTATTTTTAGCGTTGAATCAAGACTTTACTAAACACTTAACTGCGGCTCAAAACAAAGTGGAAAACTTAACGCAGGTTTGACTTGAAAATTGATTAATTGAACGAATTGAATTGATCTTGGTTAATTATATGTGAATAGCTATTGGAAGAGAGCGAAAGCAATAATATGTTAATAAGTGAACAAAACAGAGTATTAAAAGAGGAGATCCGAAGACTTGAACGCAGTATTGAACGCATAGAGATGGCCGACAATCTGGAGTATCTCAAGAATATTATTGTTAAGGTATGCCTACACTCACCACTCTTTCATTAGTCCATTACTAGTCATACGTTATGTTATATTCAGTTCATTACTCTTAACGGAGAGGACGAAAGACAACGACTTATTCCGGTTTTGACAACAATTTTGAAGTTAAGTCCAGACGAACAGAGTTTGTTTCAAACGTTCACTTCAATCGACCAAAACATTAACCAAAACAAGTGGACAGACTATCTCTACAACTGGACGGCCGATAATAAATGATTTTTATCTGTGATTTAAGTTAATTTTATTTATAAGTAATTATGTTTTTGTCTTTTCATAATATATTTAAATGTTTTATCGATAAATAAATTTATTTTTACAAATATTTACTGGTAATTAAATAAATAAATCTCATTTTATTGTAAATGCAAAATAAATATTAATTAACAGAATAACTAAACCATAAAAATTATATTATAATAATATTATGTTGTTTTATGCCAACGTCTGTGTTGTGTATGTAGTGCCGCATTACTAATGCATTATATATTTGTTGAATTTAATATTCCCCTCATTATATAATAGTTTAAATTTTATTTAATCGTCAAATTAACTTTGAAACATTGAATTAGAAATTTAAATTGTGTACAGTATAGCGAATATCCTTTGATAAAATTAGTTTAGAATTAGTATATCAAAGCAAGAAATTTAATTTTCAATCAAACATTAGGTCTAAAGTTTGTCTCAATTTTGTTTCCTCTAAAAGTGTGGTCAGAAGAGGTGACCCGAAATATTTTGCCCGCATTTGGGTATTCATTCAAATCCTGCTTATCATCGCCTGTCGTCACAAACATTTGGTCCAACTCTTGGCCACCGAATGCTATAGAAGTGGTCAATAGGGCCGGTATTGACACATAGTTTTCAACCGATCCTTAAATGCAAATTACAATAAATTATAATTTAATGACAAAATGAATGCAAACTAATTACCAGATTCTTCATTGATTTGGACAACCCTTCCGCCGCCGTATAACGACACCCAAAGTCTCCCACTTTTATCAGTTGTCATTCCGTCCGGATATTCATCGCTCTTGAAATCAGGATTGCATTTAAAATCAACGAAAACTTTTTTGTTGTCTATAATTGTAATCAGAATTGATTTTGAATATTACATTAAAATATGTGCGAAATAATGGACATATAGCTCACGTAATAATCCATTTTGGAGATCAAAGTCGAAAACATAGATTTTCTGATCACCGGAATCATTGAAATACATTTTAGTATTGTATAGATTCCAAGTCATGCCATTGGAAAGAGTGATATTGTCCGACATTTTCACGAAATTATTGGCAAACAGTTTATAGAGACTTCCCTTTTGAGGAACGGCTCCATTGGGTCCGTCCAATACACTGCCGATCCATAGCCGTCCCAATGCGTCCACCTTTCCGTCATTGAACCTCTCTTTGCCCTCCAATTCCGGTGCAATCCTTGCAATCACTTCCCGAGTGTTTGCTTTTGTGTCCCATTTTAACACTTTATTCCTGAGACTCACTAAAAGAATGTCAACACCTTTCCGTCATTGAACCTCTCTTTGCCCTCCAATTCCGGTGCAATCCTTGCAATCACTTCCCGAGTGTTTGCTTTTGTGTCCCATTTTAACACTTTATTCCTGAGACTCACTAAAAGAATGTCATTATTCTCTTCAAATGGGATCACAATTGTAACCAAATCTTTGAAACTGGTTTTGTCTGTGCGGCCGGTGCTCACATCCATGGCCAGGACGTCGCCAACAAACGCGTCCACGAAATATAGTTTCTTCCTCTCGGAGTCCCAATGCGGACCCTCTCCCAGATTGTATCCATTCTCACCCAACGGTTCCACACGGAAAGACATTTCACTGATACTGTAATTCTGCGAACAAAACAAAAGTTATCAGGATTAGATAAACGCCTCTTTTGTTTGATTTGACGTAATTTTATAGAACTTTATAATTCATATAAAATTGTCCCCAAAATAGTTGATATGGTTTTTATAATTCTAGATTGGTTAGAGTTGAGCTAGATCAAAACAAAATTTTTTAGAAACATGGTTTTAAGCACCACCATGATGATATACAACATTTATTCCTGATCTAAAGGGGCTGGTATGGGACAGGGATCATCGATATCACAAAAACTATTAATGGTAACCGAGTTCTGATTTTTGGTAATATGCACTAGGTCATTCATAGAAACTATTTTTTAGACATATTTATCTCGACAATGGCTCAAGGTATTGTGGCAGTCTCAACTGTGTTCGAAAGATCTTTTGAAATCCTACAAATAATGTGCTTGCTCCTGCACTGTCAAACTTACAGCAAACTCTATATTCTAGAAATCAATATTCTCTATGTATTTGATATGTCACTTAATTAAAACTTTATTATTGTTTTACACCTTAACCTGTATAATCAAAATACACAGAATATTTATTTCTAGAATAGTATGTATTGAGTCATACCATTGGAACCATAGTCCTTATGACAAAAACTTTTTTGTGGTGAGGATCACCCGATGGCATGTATTTAGTGGTTGGATCCACTCTATGGACTTTTCATATTTATTTGACTCATCATTAGTGGGATTGTGTTACTTCACAATAATCAATATATTTGAATCATTAAGTTTGAAAAATAGTTTATAAATAAAACTTAGCATGTTCATTTTTAATATTCATTACATTGATCGAAAGGTCTTAACAAGTTGACAAAACTAATTATACAGTAGTGTTGAAGTAGTGAATCAAACCCATAAACAATCCAATGATAATAAGAAATTATACAAATTATATTAAAATAGTGATTAATTGAGTTTTATTTACGGATTTAAAATAATTGAAAAACTATTCAAATCGTGAGAACCTAATGAAACAAAAGGTATGCAGAAAACAATTTGTGAGACGTCCTCATTGTAAAGGCCTTTGGCTTAAGCGTTAATAAGAGTTTGGAAATGAGTTATCCGTGTATTTAATCGCAGCCAACGCTTATATAATACTTTGCCTCTCAATCCATTCATACATCAAAATATAATTGAATCCATGAATCAAAATATCCAAATAAAACATTTGATACATTAAAGACTCTAATTTAGAGCTATCATAGCGTTTCAAATGCAGTGTATCAACAAATAAACTATAATGTTGCTAAAACGTGTAAATTAAGTTGAGTGCAATCATTACACTGTAATGATTAAACTTTAAAGAGAGTGAAGTATAGGCGCATAGGTTTGAGTGGCGTTTGGCGTGCGTTTGTTCGCGTGTCGTCGCGTTTGCATACATTGAGTGCTATTATGAATGAATGAATTGGTGAACAGTGACTGACTGTATGTCTATGAGTGCCACCAAAACTACAAACACTAAACACTGACTGACGAGTGAGACAACAGACAAACACAACAAACCCTGAATTGGCCTCAATTTGACTCATTTTGGGACCCATTTGTCAATAGTTTGCCATTTGATACACATTTCGGTGATCTCTTTGAATGCGATCGACGAGTGAATCGGTGGACACTTAGTGTGAATGAGTGACCAAATGGTGTGAATAGCGAGCACTGAGTCACTGAACCACTGAATCACTGCAACTCTAAATCATAAGTGAATTGTCTTTTGGTCTCAATTGGATTCATTGATTTGATTGCATCGACTAAACCATCGGCGGTTAGTCTGGCATCGCGTGATTTCGTGGTGATCACAGCAATCATTGTATGGCTTATCGCTCGTTATATCACATAATGAGTGAATTGTTGCTCAATTCACGTGACTTTGAATTGAATTGTTTTGTTTGCTTTGATTTAGTGTTGGATTTGTTGTTGAAATGAGTTTAAAACAACCGAAAAAAGACACCAAAATGAGAATCAGAGCCTTTCCCGTACGTACGCCCCCCACACCCCCCTCACCACTAACTATGTCTTTGTCACCCCTTATAGACGTCTATGGATGAGAAGTATGTGCTCAGCATTTGGACACTACTTAAGAACGCCATTCAGGAGATCCAGAAGAAGAACAACAGTGGTCTCAGCTTTGAAGAGCTCTATCGCAACGCATATACAATGGTTTTGCATAAACACGGAGAGAGACTATACAACGGACTCCGGGATGTCGTCAAAGAGCATCTCGTCAATAAGGTGTGACCTCTTTGCCAACCATTCAATTGACTCGCATTTGACGGCATTTGTCTGTCTGTAGGTTCGGGTGGATGTGTTGAACGCACTGAACAACAACTTCCTGCAAACCCTGAACGAGGCCTGGAATGACCACCAGACCAGTATGACTATGATCCGGGACATTCTCATGTATATGGTATGTCATTAGCATCTGTGCAATACTGTCTGTGCACTCAACTAAGAGGTTGTGTGTCTGTCTGTGTATAGGATCGCGTGTATGTCCAGCAGAATAGTGTAGACAATGTATACAATTTGGGTTTGAATTTATTCCGCGATCATGTCGTCCGATACGGCAATATTCGGGATCACTTGAGGGAAACACTCCTCGAAATGGTTATGAGAGAGAGAAAGGGAGAAGTGATCGATCGGTTGGCCGTTCGTAACGCCTGTCAGATGTTAATGCAATTGGGAATCGACTCGCGATCCGTCTATGAGGAGGACTTCGAGCGACCATTCCTTCAACAATCGGCTGAATTCTATCGCGTAATGACTGACCGTTTGTTTGTCTTTTAAGTAGAGTTTTAATTGTTTTGTGTTTTAATGCAAACATTAGTTCGAAAGCCAGAAGTTTTTGGAGGAAAACAGTGCTTCGGTTTACATCAAGAAAGTCGAGCAGCGGATCAATGAGGAGGCAGAGCGAGCCCAGCATTATTTGGACACTTCCACTGAACTCGAGATCGTCCGCGTCGTCGAAGAAGAACTCATTAGCAAACATATGAAGACAATCGTCGATATGGAGAACTCAGGAGTGGTTCATATGCTTAAGAACACCAGAATAGACGGTTAGCTTTTCATGAAGACTATTGAAGTGAATACTAATTAATGAATGAATTTGTAAATATTGTAGATTTGTGTTGTATGTATAAACTGTTCTGTCGAGTCCCTAATGGTCTTCAGGAGATCATCAAATGCATCAGTAATAACCTCCGAGAACAGGGCAAAGCACTGGTCACTGAAGACGAGGCCACTAAAGGAGATGCCGTGGCTTTTGTTCAGTCATTACTTGATCTGAAGGATAGATTTGATAAATTTCTTTCGGAATCATTTAATGGTGACAAAGAGTTCTTGAAAATGATAGCAAAAGACTTCGAGTACTTTTTGAATCTCAACCCTAAGTCACCCGAATATCTGTCGCTTTTCATTGACGACAAACTGAAGAAAGGTGTGAAAGGGATGACTGAACAGGAGATCGAACAGGTGTTGGACAAGACTATGGTTTTGTTCCGATATCTTCAGGAGAAAGACGTGTTCGAGCGCTACTATAAACAGCATTTAGCGAAACGCCTTTTGCTCAACAAAAGTGTTTCCGACGACTCCGAGAAGAATATGATATCCAAGTTGAAGACAGAGTGCGGCTGTCAGTTCACATCCAAACTCGAGGGTATGTTCAAAGACATCTCCGTCTCCAACACAATGATGGAAGAGTTCAAATCACACGTCAACTCATCCCAAGTATGATCTCGAGTCACCACTCATTAACACATAACTCATTGTTTTGATTGCCACAAACAGATCAACTTATGGGGTGTAGACCTGAACGTGCGGGTGTTGACCACTGGCTTCTGGCCCACGCAGTCGACTCCATCCAAGTGTAACATTCCGACGGCACCGCGAAATGCTTTCGAGGCTTTCCGACGTTTCTATTTGGGGAAACATAGCGGACGACAACTCACACTTCAGTCACAACTCGGTTGGGCTGATCTCAACGCCGTCTTCTATGGCGCCAAAAGGGAAGACCCCTCGACCGATGCAACCAATGCGAGCGCCAACGCCTGCACTTCCAGTTCCATCAATAGTTTTGACAACACTGTTAGCACCTCTTCATCACTACAAACCACTCAATTAACTACAAATACTAGCAATTCAGTGAAAATTATTCCTCGAAAACATATAATCCAAGTGTCAACACATCAGATGTCTATTTTGATGTTATTTAACACCAGAGATAAGATTACTTATGAAGACATCGCCAACGAGACGGATATCGCCGAAAAGGATTTGGTTCGAGCGCTCCAGTCGTTAGCTATGGGTAAAGCCACTCAACGGGTCCTCATTAAGAACCCAAAGACTAAAGAGATGGGTATTTATGGCTATCAAACATATGACTCTTACTCTGTTTAATACCATTTAATGACACTTTAGAAGCGAATCATATATTTACGGTTAATGACTCGTTCACATCGAAACTGCACCGGGTCAAAATACAAGCAGGTCTGTCATAATCATACAGTACTGTATGTACTGTAATCTTGTAACTGAATTGCTTGTGCCGTCGATATAGTGACAGCAAAGGGTGAGTCGGAACCGGAGCGCAAAGAGACGCGATCTAAAGTGGATGAGGACCGCAAACATGAGATCGAAGCGGCTATTGTTAGGATAATGAAAGCCAGGAAACGAATGTCACACTCGAGTCTTGTGGCTGAGGTATACCCCATTCAATAGTCCTTATGTCATGGTATTAATGATGGTTTGTTTTGTGACCATTAGGTGACGGAACAGCTCAAGACTCGATTCCTTCCGAGTCCTGTCGTCATAAAGAAGAGAATCGAAGGATTGATTGAAAGGGAATACTTGGCCCGAACTCCAGAGGACAGGTATGACATGTCGTCAACATTGAGACAAACCTTTAATTTTGGTATTTTGTTTGTTTGCAGGAAATTGTATACATATGTAGCTTAACATTAATATTGGGTTAAAATACTTTAATAAAAATAATTACGCGCTTAAGAGCCGATTATTTATTATGTTTTAAACACCTGAATAGTATATAAAAATTTATTTTTACCCAAATTGTCATCAGTTATCCGATTAAAAAATTTCTATAAAATTCTTTTGGATGGCATTCATCATAATTCATATAATCGACACTCAATTGTGTTATCCATTAGTATTGTTCATAAAATTTAGTGGACTTTACATCGTTTTGCGACTCCTTTTCCAAATCGCTTTTTATTGAACCATTTTGTGATAAAAGCCATTCAACCGCTAATAAATAATATTTGTATTAAATTTAATTTAAATATTGTATTATTTATAGAAAATAGTAATTTATATATTCTTATTGTCAACGTTTGACTGCAAAGTAACTCACTTTTAAAGTTGATATCTTTTCCGCCAAAAGTTTGGGCACCGATTAGTTGCTTCTTAAGGGCGCCGTTCTTATAGAGGAATAGCGCCGGTAGTCCGCTGTCGGGGAAGTTGGCCACACATAGGGAGGCGATGCTCTTCAGGAATTTGGTGTTCGGGTATTTGACCGCCAATTCGGTTATGATTTTCGATAAAATACTGCATTCGGGGATACTTTACAGCAAAGAGACAATCAATGAATTGGTCAGTCAGTGGTGTAGTGGTTGTGAGCAACACATACCCGGACTGGTAGAGGAATAGGACGACCTCGATGTCATGTCCGGCACCGTTGACTTGTTGCACGTAATCAGATGCCGTGATTTCCCTCACGTCTCCAAACGTCGGAATCAAACTCTTGGCCCGCATTTCGGCCATTCGTCGGTTCCTATACTCTCTCATCACATATTCATCGCTTTCGTCCAAATCAAGCAAATCGTCTTCACTGTTGATGTCTAAGAGTTTTCTCTCTAAAGTGCAGACTTCCGGCTCCTCTTCTTTGGCCTCTGGTTTGGGATCAGATTTAATGATTCCGTGTTTCTTCAATATATCCGTCCATTCCGTGTCCTCCTATACCACACATACAGACCATTGAATACATGATTCACTTGTTCATCATATGTACCATTCATTCATTCATACCATAGTTATGTGCAATTAATTTGAAGCAACACTTGATTTAAATGAGAAAATGAGAGCAAAAGTGAATTGAAGTCTAATTTTAGATACCATTGAAAACTCCATAAAAGTATGAAGTGTTGAGAAACGCCTTCACTATTGCCTTACTATAGGACCAACTCTTCATCACATTCTGGCATACATTTCAATACTTCATACACTTTCTTAGCATCTAATCCTATAATACATTGCATCGATGGTCAACTAACTTATGGCTCAATAATTAGACATTCAACTCATATGCAAACTGTATTGTAATCCACTCGCAATGTCCTAGTTTAGATACATTCAATTTGATCATTTTTAAATTTGTAATCAATTATGTTACTGTTATTATAGATTTAAAAACTTTATAATATGTTACTAAGTGTGCAAATGTGGTTGAATTGTGTTTATTGTGTAATAGCATTGAATTTGGTGGAGACCTTCAATACATATAAATATTGTGTCATTAATTCAATACATGTTTATTAATACGAGTTATGATTGAAAGTCAATTCAACTGGTTTTGAGTCTCAACTTTTGTGTTTTGTTTATTTTTATATACTCACAAATACAGGACATATAGTGTTTTAACTGCCCCTTCAATGCCCCCAAAGCTAACCCTATACTACATAGTAAGGCACACACACTCTCATACACTCTAACACTTGCTGTCAGTGATAGTCATGTGTTATATGAATGTGTATTTAAATGACGAATAGATCGCATAATTGTGTTATTATTGAAGAAAATCTCCATTTGATTGCATTGTATTTGAATTAATTGAATACAATTTCAACACTATTTCTATGAAACGATTGTATTGTTTACCAAAATGTGACTCAAATACGACTGCTTTTCACTTATGATTTCATTTACAAATCAATTGATTTACAGTTAAATTGCGATAAAATGTCATTTTTTAAACCATTATTCAAATCGCGAACTAATTCATTAGACAAATGTCTAATTATTTGCATTTTGTCCGTTATATCAGTCAATATCCATGAGACCAATGCAGACATCGCTGTCGTAAGCAATCATATGATTACCGCAACTCACGAGTCAATTGATAACTGGTTTACTCATGACATCCAATAGATCTCTTCAGCCAATCGTACGGTCGATGTATTCGTTGACTTCGAGTTAGGTTTCGCCGCTTCTGTCCCTTCGGACGGCATTCTTGTAAAGCAATTGAAAGCATTTGATTGTCTTTACTATTACTAAATGATTGACTCATTGAAGGGTCGGCTCGTTGTGGGACAGCCCGAGGATGGGTGCGAGCGAATGGCTGGCCCTCCAGACAACCAGACGGGTGTCAAGTGGTTTGTTCTCGTCAAGAGGTATCCGTGTCAGTTCACGCAGAAGGTTACTACTCTTACCATTGCCACCAATAGTCTATTATTCCACTCATATGATCACCTCATAGGTCCAGAATGCTATGAAGGCTGGATTCGATGCCATTATCATCTATAATATAGATGTGATGACTGTTAAGAAGTATTCTTTGGTCCATTCGCCACAAACTGGTAATAATTGACTTCTTTATGATGTGTTAATTGGTGTCTATTATTGTATGAATACAACTGTTGTGCGAAACAAATGAGTTTTTTATGAGAGCAATGAATAATACGAGACATAAACAGTAATACCAATTGTATGTGATTTGTAATAATGACAGAAAATGGAGTCACAATTCCAGCGCTTCTCATATCCTTTGAGGACGGATGGGCTCTCAAGAGGGAATATCTATGGAATAAAGGCTTTACTTTAATGATATTACCGGATCTGCCCTTCAATTTGAACGCTTATCTCTTGCCATTCGCTATCGTAATCGCTGTCTGTCTTCTTCTGATGATTTCATTTATGGTAAACTGAAGTGAATTCTTGTGAAACCATTTGTTGTAATAATAACCGTGTTATTAGATCTTTCAGATCGTGAAGTGTATTCGCGATAGAAAGAGACGACTCAGACATCGCCTCTCATCCCGACATCTCAAACAGATTCCGATCCAAAAATATAAGAAAGGTATTCAAAGAGTTTAGTTAATTATTCTAAGTTATAGCGCATACGATAATGACTTGTGAACCGATAGGCGATCAGTACGACACGTGTGCCATATGTCTAGAGGAGTACGTCGACAACGAGAAACTCCGTATTCTTCCGTGTGGTCACGGTATGTGTCCATCACTTGCTGTAGTTATGTGTCACTTGTGTTCATTCCATGCATTTGTTCTGTTGGACAGCCTATCATGTCAAGTGCATCGACCCCTGGCTCACAAAGAATCGTCGCGTTTGTCCCGTATGTAAGGGGAAAGTAGTTCTCCCGGGAATGAGTGATATCAGCGACACTGAGTCCGAGTCGGAAGCGCACAATACCGGCGCCAACGAGAGAACGCCATTACTTTTTGCTGATAGGGCTCACACCAGACATAGAAACAGACGTCGGCGCCGATCGTATCCACAAACGAGCGCTTCGACTGAACAAACAAACCAAACAAACACTGAATCGGCAGCTAATGAGACGGTCGATGCGAACAGCCCTCTCCTGATCATTGACACCGTGAGTATGAGTGCGCCTAATGTTCGACTCGTCGAAGTGGACATCACTCCTATGATGGCTCCGACTTACCTCTCAGTGAACTGTGACTCCGAAGAATCGGTGATCGAAGTGGCCGATGAGGTGACCCCTCCGCCTCCCGTCAGCGCCCCTCCAGTCGAGGCTAGAAGTTCAAGGAGTCGGCGACAGGATGTGATCGTATAGTTTATATAGACTTATAGTCAGGATTAAAGTGTAAATAAGTTTACATTCGTTTACTGAATAGTTTTCATGAAATACAAACTCGTTTTACCGTAATTTCGGTTCATTTCGGTTGCGTTGCTAATCATGAGATTAAGTCAATGTCTTAATAATAAATATGATTTCACTAATTGTTTAGTCATTTAATCGAATCGTAAAACTCATACTTTGGACGCGATTTTCAAAAGATAATCATTTCGGTTGCGTTGCTAATCATGAGATTAAGTCAATGTCTTAATAATAAATATGATTTCACTAATTGTTTAGTCATTTAATCGAATCGTAAAACTCATACTTTGGACGCGATTTTCAAAAGATAAATATTTTAATTGAATTATCAGAATATATTGGATACATATTAAGTACAATATATTTCACTTATTATGGTATATATGAATATTCGGTATATATATTGCATATAAAATAGATGTTTATTTTAACTGAATTTTATACTTAATTTCCTGTAATTGCAATATTTGTTTGAAAGCAGTTTATTTTGGTTTAATTTTAACTTTAACTTTAAATATGTTTTGTAAATTTTATAAATATTTAATAAAACACACAATCGTTTAGTTTTAAGTTATTCTTGAAATTTAATATTGTGATTAAATCATACATTTGGATTAGTAATCGCATTCATTGCATTCAATCCTAAATTGATTATAATTTGACATTCAAATATTTCTATAAATTTGTTAATAGTTTTCTTATTTTGAAAATTCATTATCATATAATTAACGTAAATTAGATGAATGTGTCTAATTGTGAGAATTACTCAATTGCTGTCATAGATAGAGTAGAGTTACAATTATGGGTTAGAATTGATCATTTCGGTTGCGTTACTAATCGTGAGATTAAGTCAATGTCTTAATAATAAATATGATTTCACTAATTGTTTAGTCATTTAATCGAATCGTAAAACTCATACTTTGGACGCGATTTTCAAAAGATATATATTTTAATTGAATTATCAGAATATATTGGATACATATTAAGTACAATATATTTCACTTATTACGGTATATATGAATATTCGGTATATATATTGCATATAAAATAGATGTTTATTTTAACTGAATTTTATACTTAATTTCCTGTAATTGCAATATTTGTTTGAGCAGTTTATTTTGGTTTAATTTTAACTTTAACTTTAAATATGTTTTGTAAATTTTATAAATATTTAATAAAACACACAATCGTTTAGTTTTAAGTTATTCTTGAAATTTAATATTGTGATTGAATCATACATTTGGATTAGTAATTGCATTCATTGCATTCAATCCTAAATTGATTATAATTTGACATTCAAATATTTCTATAAATTTGTCTTATCAAAAGAATAAAACTTTTAAGTAATAGTATATTAATTGCATTTAATCTACTTACACAGATTAACACTCTTAATGAGTTAACGACAGTATCTATCTCATCTCAATGTTAATACCCAATCTTAACTTTATTAGTATAAATTACTGAATACAACAGAATTGAATCAATTCTACAAATTATGGTTCAATTGTGACAAAAGGCATGTTATTTATGTGAGACTCACACAGTGTTCGCTGTTTTGGCGCTAAATTGTGTTCACTTTGAGTGACAGACAGACAGTTAGTGTTGTCTGCAGTGAAGGCAATGTCTGTAATGAACCGGAAGTGCGAATCTTTGGATCAGCTCTTGGCTCACTTCAACACCAAGATCTCGATCATCACTGAGTTGTTCCCATTGAGCCAATTGTATGACAACATTGACCACAAGAATGAGTGGAAAAGAAACGTTGTGTTGGACTCTAATTACTTGAGTGACAATTCAGACAACTATTGTCACCGAATGGGTCCCAAGAAACCAGATTTGAGGGAAATCTCGCAAATGATTGTCGAAATGAAGGCAATGACTGCAGAGATTAAGACACTTCTACGACAGCAGAAGCAGTCAATCATTTGTCACAACACTAAATGTCACAACGATTTGGATCTAATGCTCAGACACTGCCATCACATCAATGATAATATTCCAGAGTTTTTGCAAAACGGTGTCCAAAATAAAGGTATGTTTTTAAGACATCTCAAGACATGAATTGATTGTTATATTGAATTGAAGGCAAAACTAATGATGAAAATAAGGATTTATCGAAACGACAACCTAATGGTCACAATAACCAGAAACCGGTCTCTAAAGTGATGCCGAAGACTAATCCGAAGACAACGGTTAAGACCAATGCAAACGTGAGGCCAACACAAGAGCCAAGAGTTGATTATCGAAACGACAAACTAATGGTCACAACAATCAGAAACCGGTCTCTAAAGTGATGCCGAAGACTAATCCGAAGACAACGGTTAAGACCAATGCAAACGTGAGGCCAACACAAGAGCCAAGAGTTGTGGCAAAGAATACGACGAAGAAAGTGGTCCTCAAAGACACGTCTATTCCCAGCATTTCGTTCATCACAACCGAAGAATTTGCTTCAATTCCTCAGTACTGGTGATAATAGTAAGACATTTGACTGACACTACAGTTTGTGTGCATTGTTTCAGTTATATGTTGGGACGACTGACCTATGAAGTGATCAATAGAGCCATCGCTGACTTCAACCGAACCATTGCCACCAAATATAAGATAATAAACAACTATTCGACCAAATATTGTGACGAAGATCTGCGCAAATATGTCGCGTATAAGGAACAGGAGAACTCGGAAACTGATGGTAAGCCCATTGTCTCACTGATCACTGATCACTGATCTGATGGTAAACCCATTGTCTCACTGATCACTGATTGGCAATCATTTCCATTGATTCATATTCTTTCATATTTAGGACAATATTTTTGTACAATCAATGACTTGAAAGACTTAAGTGATCTCAAAGTGGACATCACTATCCGGAAGGCCATCATTTGTCTCCGTCATTGCAAACGCGTTAAAGAGATCCGCGGAAATCCTCCTAAACTTATCAGATATGCGATCGTCAAGAGCACCACTTTTATGGATTAAGTCTTCAGACATTCACTCCTCAATTGATTCCTTAATTATATAAAGACTAAGAAAATGTTTATTTAATACAATTTAATACAACACTATATTCACTGATATTTGTATCGCTTTTGATTGCTTTGTAATCATTTGAAAACAGTATTCAATAAAATGAGTGAACATTTAATTTGGATTATATTATCAATTCATTTATCATTCATTTGATGGACTGATGGTGAGGTTGGTTTCATTGGTGGCATTGAACGCAATGATATAGCGATCCCTTTCCTCCCAGCGCTGACAAAAGGCGCCACTATTTCGTCGACGCATTGATTGACTCATTGAAAGCAAACACATGTCTGGTTTCTGTCTCAGGAAGACCTCAAAGTTTGCAATATTTGGACATCTCTTTGACGCGATTCCCATTGGTTTCCGATTACCACTTCACTGCAGATAATGGCCAATGAATTCCAACACATTTTAACCAATTTATTGAATGTCGACAATCAGTTCCGCACGAAGGCTGAGGTGTGTCTCCAAGACATGACTCTATGTGTTAGTGGTTTGAATCTAATCCACATTTGATTTCTTGAATGGACAGGAAGTATACGATGCCATTCCTCCGGCAGAGAGGACTCAACACTTATTTGCGACAATCATTGACGACACTAAGGATGAAGAGGTAGTGTAACTAATGAATGCCTTTTAACACCATGGTCATTCTTATGGTCATAATTTCTATTGATAACTCACTAAAAGGTGCGCCAATTGTCTGCCGTACTCTTGAGGCGACTTATATTCAGTAGTTTTCCGGAAATTATTAAAAATGTTTCCGAAGAAGTTTTTGAACAAATGAAATGTCAAACACTTCTACTTCTGGAGAAGAATATATCGAATAATATGCGGCGGAAAGTGTGTGACATCGCAGCAGAATTGGCTAAGAATTGCATCGGTATTGCAGTGATTTTCACTTGTCTTTGAATTATTGACTTAAGATTGTGTCCACAGATGAAGACGGGAACAACAAATGGCCACAAATTCTCAAGTTTCTCTTCGATTCGGCCAACGCTTCCAACTTAGAGCTCAAACACTCGGCTCTTCTCATATTCGCGTCGGTTCTCACTCTTTGTTTCTTTTGGTCTCAATTTGTGTTAATCTTGTGATTTGTCTGCTGTTTAGTGCCGTTCCGGGAGTCTTCGGGAACCAACAGAACAAGTATCTGGAAGTGATTCGACAAATGCTTATCCATTACTTATGCGATAATTCTAACGAAGAGGTGAAGACATCGGCAGTGAAAGCAACGGCGGCTTTCATCTTATGTCACGAAACAGAGAAACCAGTTCTGAAGCAAATGACTGATTGTGTTCTTCCGATGATTCACGTGATGTCCACCTGTATTGACAACGAGACCGACGACTCGGGCCTCAAGTCATTCATCGAAATCTCTGAAAAGTGTCCGCAAATACTTCGGCCACAGTTTGAGGCCTTAATCGAGTTGTGTCTGAAGACACTGTCCAACACAGAAAAGGCTGATTCGTGGAGACATTTGTCGCTCGAAGTGATTATATCTTTGGCAGAAAACGCTCCGTCGACTGTCCGTAAGAGGGGTTCACCATATCTGTCACATTTGAGTGCGTTATCTCTTTCACCAATTTTCACTGCATTTACTAAACTGTGGTATCCTTTCAGTCACTCAATTGCTTCTAATGATGACTGACTTAGAGGACGATCCGAACTGGTCTTTAGGGGACACCGAAGAAGACGACGACGATTCTGAAAGGTATGCCATCGAAAGCAAAGTTGTTTTGAATGAATACTAATTGAGGTGTTGTGATGAAGTAATGCAGTGATAGGGGAAAGCAGTTTGGACCGCCTGTCCTGTTCAATCGGTGGTAAAACGGTGCTCCCTCTGGCCATTACCTCTATCTCACAAATGTTGCAAAACAGCGATTGGAAGCACAGATTCGGTGCACTAATGGCTATCTCGGCTGTGGGTGAAGGATGTCACGACCAAATCACTCCAATGCTTAGCCAAATAGTTGACGCCATAATCCCATTCCTCACGGACTCGCACCCGAGGGTTCGATACGCGGCCTGTAATGCTTTGGGACAAATGGCTACCGATTTTAGTCCATTATTTGAGAACAATTACCACTCGAAAGTAGTGCCGGCTTTAGTCACACTACTCGATGACTATAACAACCCCAGAGTACAGGCCCACTCCGGTGCCGCTTTAGGTACAGTCTTGTAGCTTAAAAATAACACATTGTAATGGAATTAAATTCATTTGCAGTCAACTTCTTTGAGGAATGTCCGCAAAAGATTGTCATTAATTACTTGGAAAGTGTTGTCAACAAAATAGAACAAGTCTTGAATTTGAAGATCAAAGAAGTAAAGCTTAGATCAGCTCTTTGTAAATGTGTTTCTAAAATGTTTGTCTTATGAATAGTTGATGGAAAAGGGCTCTAAACTAGTTTTGGAACAAATTGTGGTCACTTTGGTGAGTGAATATATTTTTTGGATTATTTACTGATTGTTATTCATATGACTTACTGTATGACAGTCCGCTTTGGCCGATTCAGCTCAAGAAAACTTCCAAAACTATTACGACAAGTAAATCATATGCTTATGCACTACAGTATTACCGTATATGGACTTAATTTCTTACACCTATTTATAGATTTATTCCGTGTCTTAAATTCATTATCCAAAACGCAATCACAAAAGAGTTAAGACTATTGAGAGGCAAATGTATTGAATGCATTAGTCTTATCGGTCTTGCGGTCGGCAGTGAAAGAGTATGTTTTGAATTGTATTTACGGTCAATGATTAGACAGTAAAACAATTACTTTATTTATAACCATTAGTTCTGTTCGGATGCCAACGATATAATGAATTTATTGCTTCAAAACCAAACGGGAGAACTCAAGTTAGACGACGACGACCCTCAGGTCTGCACTCTTTTACTATATTTTTGAGTTCATCATACGGTATAAAAGAATGTCTTATTATCTTATCTCTCAGTTATCATATATGATCTCTTCGTGGGCGAGAATATGCAAAATCTTAGGCAATCAATTTGAACCCTATTTACCATTCGTTATGCCATCGGTTTTAAAAGCGGCCGCAATTCGGATAGAAGTGGCACTTCTGGACCGTATGTCTTGTCTCCACTATTTTCTTCATTCCTATCATAATATATGTTTACATAATAGAGGACGACATGAAAGTTGTCGAAGAAGACAATGACTGGCAATGCGTTAATTTAGGAGATCAAGTATTATATCATTTTCGTTAATAATGGCTATATTTTAACCAAAACTTTCAATTTTAAAGCAAACCTTTGGCATAAAGACTGCGGGACTCGAAGAAAAGGCGACCGCTTGTCAAATGTTAGTCTGTTATGCGCGGGAACTGAAGCAAGGATTCGCTAATTATGTTGAGGACACCGTTAAGATAATGGTTCCAATGCTGAAGTTCTACTTTCATGATGATATCCTTTTATCAAATAATTATCACTTATTTACTTGAATTTGTTTGAAATCCTTAATCCCTTAACTCTTATATTGATGAACACGTGTCCGAACGGCTGCCGCTGAAAGCCTTCCTTTCCTCATAGACTGCATTAAGACAAGAGGGGATTCATATGTCTTCGAGCTCTGGAATTTTGTTTTCCCGGAACTCATGAAAGCCATCGAAACGGAACCAGAAAAAGATGTTTTATCTGAACTCATGACTGCATTATCACAGGTATTAGAGAATGAAAATGCAATTCATTTGACATTTTCTAAAAAGAAATGAAAAGTAATTTTGAAAATATGTGCAAACATTCAGTGTATCGACAAATTGGGCAAAAACTGTTTAAATGAAAGCCAATTACAAGACTTGATTAAAGTGATTGACAGTCATCTGAAGGATCACTTCGAAAGGTATCGTTTACGGCAAGAGAAACGAAACGATGAGGACTACGACGACGGCGTCGAAGAAGAGCTCATCGATGAGGTAATGAACACTGGATTCACTGAATGATCTCTATTTGGTGTTAAATGAAGTTTTGTGTGAAGGATGACGAGGACACGTATGTGTTGAGCAAAGTGGCCGATATATTGCACTCTCTGTTCATCGCTTATAAGCATGACTTCTACCCATACTTTGATCTTATATATCAACACTTTATTAATTTAGCGGTAAGTCTTTAATTGCATTTGAATATCACTTTAAACATAATGTGTTGAACTATAGGCCGAGGGTCGGCCTTATACTGACAAGCAATGGGCTGTCTGTGTGATGGATGACGTGATAGAGCACGGGGAACACCATTGTGTCAAATATGAGAACTTTTTTGCGCCCCTTCTGTCTGCTGGTGTTCAGAGCACTCACGCGGAGATCAGACAGGCCTCTGCTTATGGTATCGGCGTTTTGGCCAAACACGGGGGACAGACATTCGCCACACATTTTTCCGGTCAGTCATTGCAGGCTTTGGTTGTTGTGGACATAAATTGACACAAATTGTTATGTTTTAGAATATATTCCACTTTTGGTTCGTGTGATAAGCGATCCAAACGCACGACTGGCTGAGAATATAACGGCGACTGAAAACGCCATTTCCGCTGTCACTAAGATTTTGCAGTTTAATAGCAGTCAGGTATACATTCATTGAGATGTGCTTTCATTTGACACACTTTTCACATTTGATTTCAATCTGTGATCACACAGTTAGACGTGGACTCCATTCTTCCGGTTTGGTTGAGTTGGCTGCCAGTCTGGGAGGACGACGAAGAGATACCACATATCTATGGCTTCTTATACTGTTTACTAGAGAGGTATGCTTCCTATGAGTGCTTCTGAAATACTTAAAAGTGATCCCAATCTCACTTCCATATCTCACTCAACCAATAGGAATCACGCGGTCATAATGGGTCCAAACAATAGTAATTTACCGCATATTGTGGCCATTATTGCGGAAGTGTTGGCGCGAATGGCCATTGACTCAGCCTCTGAATTGGGACAAAAGCTGATCGCTTACCTCCAGTTCATTAAAGTAATTATATTTTTGACATTTAATTGAATACAAACTAATGATATATTTGTCGTGCAGTCGGACACGTTACGCAAATGTTTGACAATGGTTGACAACTCACGGCTTGTCGTTGTCAGTGAGTTAGTTCACAACGAAATTTAATTAACTTACAAACAATATAATTTACTAATTAATTTAATTAATAAATAATTTTATATGTTTTACACTCTTATACATCGTTTATATTATTTTGATTGACTATAAATATCATCAATTGTACAGTAATTATAACCAAAAATACTGACTCCACTCGAAAGCAATCCCAACTAAGAATCATAAGTATGACAATCATATGATAGACTACAGGAGATCCAGACAATAGTCACTCAAGAAATGTAAATGTCTTCCTATTAGCCAAACCTCTGAAATGTATGAAACGGATCAATTGAATTGATGGCTAATCAATAGCTTCTAATCTAGAACTTCTAGCAGTACTATAGTCTCATTTATTTTAAGAACATTGTACACATCTGCCTAAACCGGCACTCGAGATTTTATGATTTAGTATTACCGTACTATTAATTTAGCTGATTGTTTGATTAACTATGTCAAGGGTTCTATATTTATTAAGTTTATATTTTTGGTTAAATATTTGAAGATATTATTGAAAATAATTTTTATGTCACATAAAACAAGTGAAATATAAACTGTATATTTTGGATATTCTGTAAACAGATAAACAGAATATTCTTATGAAAAATGTTGATTTTTGAAAATTTATGTGATTAATAATGACTCATAATTTTAATGTTTTTTCAATAACTTATTTTTATTATCAGATAAATGGGGGGAAAGTACGAGAAATCATTGAAAGACAAACTGTATTAAAAGGAGGCGCCGGTGATAGGGCTGCCAAACCTCTTCCGGAATTGGGGTATGTCTCCCGTCTCCCGGTTGACTGTCTCTACCTACTGTGTTTAACTCTGTAAATATGTGTTTAATTTCAACACCAAGTTACTTTTACATATATTGACATTTTGTTTCGTAAGTAACTTTAATTCTCAAATATATAAACAACTTACTAATTACCGCACTTAGGCGAGAATCAGTGGTGGGATCTGTACCACAGTCTCGACGGGCTTTGGTGTCTATGACTATGGGTATGAGTCTTAAGCCGATAGTCGATGAGTGAGAATCTTGTTGAGTGACACTCGAGGCATGGGTTCATATGATAGTGTCTATGGGTTGGGAGTTGTAGTCAAACGGACATCAAATTAAACTCAATGACACATTCTACTCTATTTACAGCATTTAATAATGAGAATCAAATAATTAACTTTTTGATTTGGCAGTCCTAGCCGGGTATCGAACCCGGGTCACCAGATTACATGTCTGGTATATTAACACTGATTATGTTATTACCGGTAAGTATAGAGAATTATTAAGAATTTTGAATAAATTTCTAACTTAAAAAAGTTAATAATTGCATTCAATTGTAATCATAACAAATTGGTGTAAGAATTATGAAATACAAATTGTTTAATTCATATAAAAATACATGAATATTGCGTTTAACGTGTATAACCACAATGTATTTTGGCAATATTTTTTTATCGCAATTAGAAATCATTTAAATTTGTATAATTAAAGTAAATTTAAAAATATAAAGTAATTAAAGCTGTAAATGCAATATTTGACACATTTTGCCACTAATTTAGTAATCTTTGGTTCAAAACATTTGTTCAATGGTTGTGTAAATCAGATCCCAATAGTATGTGAATCCAATGACAGCTTTAAGTATCGGTGCGATTGTCATCTGAGAGTACGGCTAACGATAACTCATTGTTTTCTTTGGGTTTCTATTAATAAGAAAAATTATAAAATTAAAGTTATTCTGCAAACAGAATGTGATCACAAACGAAACCTTGTTTAAAGTTCTCAATTCGTGGACTTCGGTAATGATATGTCGGATGTGAACGAAGATAAACAAAGCGTTTTTGAAGAGAAATATTGAGATTTCTTTGTTAATTGAGATCCAAAAGGAAAGTCTTAGCAACAGATACGGAAGGTTTATGATTGAGATTCGCAAACAGTTGTGCAGAATATTCATCCGAAGGTCCAGTTTATGGGAACTGAAATCACTTGTACTCAACCGAAACAAACCAGTGATGGGAAGCATGAGATTGATTGTCGCCAACAACAACACGACAACCCCTACCCATTGCGAGTGGTGTAGAGCGGGGGACATGTCTTTGGGGCCGTCGGGAAGCAACAGATCCAACAAATCGATCGAATCGAATATCTCGATCACTGTAATGGTGTCCAACTCTTTGATGCATTCCAGCGATCGTTTGTTCGCTGGATTGCGATGGATATCAACCCATAGGATGAATACAAGAGTCATGAGAGCCAGACATAGGCGGACGGTGTGGGGCTCGGCCTCTACTCGTGAGTCCTGTCACACAACAACGCATCCAATGAATACCCAACCAATCAATCAGTTTTGTCATCAATACCTCAGTTACTGAAGACTTATATAACTCGACGGTTATATTCTGCAGATTTAAGACAAATATTTTGGTCGACAATAACACTGTGTATAACAACCAACAGATCCATAGAAGTGGTAGACTTCCCAACACTCGAGGAATAGTGATGTTAAGAAATGGCAGTTTTACTGATCTCTTGGTCTCATTTGTCGCATTTGATTCGAGTTTGTTGTCGTCTGGAGTAGTGTTGAGATCTGTTACCTGCGATCGCCTGAAGACATTAAGTTTGCGGTAATGACGACATCCGACGACAGCACCCGATATGAAGAGGAATGCGAGTACAAAGTCGCAGAAGAAGAAGAAGTACCAGAGATTGTTGTGGGCGTTGAATGCCGTCAAGAAGTAACTCAGAGTCCAGTTCTGGTACGAGAGGACGGATACCAACAAAATGGTGTCAAATATGCGGTTCAATAGACTCAACATATCTGAAGACATCCAATGTCTCCCATTTGAGCCATTGTTCGTATGGTTCAGCTTTAAGATAATACCACAAGATTTAGTGATTGTCTCATTGGATGACCAATACTTACAGAACTCATGTCTATTCTTGGGATCAGTTAATCGACACAACAGTCGACTCAACACTAACTGTCAAAACAGTTGACAAAAGTTTGTATACAAAGAGTCACTTGTTTTGAAATAATGTCAATAAAGTACTACTCTTTGGGAGATCACCATTGGATCAGATTTGACACATATATGACATCAATGTGTTGCCAATCGACTGATGAGTGGATTTGTAGACAATTTATACTGAATTCACATTAATTTGCAGACATTTAACACAATATTTAGATAATTATGAATAATCTGAACAAACATTAAAAGCATACTTTTCTCTGTAGTAAATACTCTGTCACAAACTGTCCTCAACATCTGTTAACAGTTGTGTTTGTCAGTAAGCAACCCAAACACAGGTTACAGAATCTGAACTTGACATTCTCACAGAGTTCACTAGGAGTGATTGATCCAAAGGATCCAAAGCATCCAAAATGAGTAGCAATTCATTGGCCAAAGACGAGGACAATGAGTCAACAGTGAGTCCATTGAGTGCTAATGAAGAGAATTGCGACCAATTGTGCAATGATTTGATGACCTCTTCATACAACGAGATCTCATTCTCTGGAAGTGATGAACAGACAGATGTGGAAGCGGCTGAAGATTTAAGTTCGTGTGATAGCGAACAACAGCTTCAGAAGAAGTTGTCGTCGAGTCTATCGTACGGTGTCAACAGCAGTAGCTATCAGAGCACCTGACTTGCGTGCTTTCGGTCAATACTCTCGCTTCTGGAGTCTGGATTGTGATCGGTAGTGAGCCTGTGCTTACTCTAAGGTCTGATACAGAGTATTGATGGACATCTGGTCTCATATGTGGCCCAAGACTTTGAGCACAAACTAAAGCACAGCACATCTTCGCCGTCCATCGAGGGTTCGTTTGTCTTCGTATTCATTTTGATCCCAATGTCTAAATTGAGTCCTCATTTCAGACCATTTGTCACAACAATCAGAAAGAATTGAATTTAAATTATTGAATGATTTGGAGAAACAGTCAAAACTCCTCTCAAATAATATTAACTCAATGTTAAGACATATCTCGGAATCCACTCATAATGTAATGTCTTATTTAAATTACGATGAATTATACAAATTGTTTGTTAAATGTCTTCATTTGTGGATCAGATAACATCGCTAACCGTGGAGTGCATCTCTACTTATGAGACATGTCTTAACAATACCTGTGATGTCATTGATTCCAATATAAAGGTATTCTTTTGGATACATAATATTTGTGACATAATATTGACCGCAATTCGTAATTCAGTCGATGTATCAATTGATGGCTAAATGTGAAGAATTAAACCAATCGATGAAACCAATCGCCAAATTGTCTGAAGAACTAAAAGAAGTGAAACGTCTGTTAGAATTGTTTGAGAAAGCGGTCGACTATAAGATGTAGAACTCATCCAACACTTCATTATCTAATCATTAGATTTGTTTTCAAATTATTTATTTATTAATCAATTAATAAAATGTGATTTTAATTAAAAAAAATAAAAACGCTATTATTATCGACAGCTCTCGAGTCTTGACGACTCTACGAGATGTTTGATGTCTTTGATTATCTCATATATTGGACACAATTCTTGTCACAAGAATCACAAGAATTGGATTTCGTTGACTGTATTGAAGACGTCTTTTATTGAAAGCATTTGTGATTTCTATGGAAACAAACGATAAGTTTGTAAATAACGATAACTTTGATTGCATTACAATTTGTTTGACAATTAATTGAGTGAACCATTGAATAGACATATAATTAGATTGTATTGATTGTAGTGATAATCGTGTGAATCGGTGACAAACGGTGGTAAGAGTTGAGAGTTGACAGTGTATTTGGTGACAATGATTGAGGTGATGATTGGTGG